AGATTGTATCTGTAATAACACCAGCAAGACCAAGTAGAAGGTACCTGTGCTAACACCAGTAAGACCAAGGAGATGGTACATGTGCTAACACCAGTAAGACCAAGGAGATGGTACCTGTGCTAACACCAGTAAGACCAAGGAGACAGTACCTGTGCTAACACCAGTAAGACCAAGCTACAATATTTCCATCCAACATCGTGCCTTAGATGCTGACCATACTGACCATGCTGACCATGCCATGCCCATGCTGACCATACTGCCCATGCTGACCATACTGACCATACTGACCATACTGACCATACTGACCATGTTGACCATACTGACCATACTGACCATACTGACCATGCTGACCATGCCATGCCCATGCTGACCATACTGACAATGCCACGCCCATTCCCTGCAGTCAGTCATTGTTCAATGCACGGCATGTTGCATCTATTGATTGATAAATGATGATTATGATAACCCTCAGCCTCATTTAAGTAAGTAAGTAAATAAGTGATTGTTATTTATATAGCTCCTCAGATCCCATCACATGCTAGAACTATTGTACATGTTTTTAGTGGTAGGGGAAACCAGAGCACCCGTAGGACACCGGAGCACCCGGAGGAAACCCTGGTTGCCTCTTACAACCGTGGGCTGCCATCTTTGTTGACCAACACACCAACTCACTGACTTCATGTCCAAGTAATCCGGCGCTCTGATTGGTTGAAACTGGGTCAATGGCAATTTACATACTACTTTACATGATAAAAAGTTCAAATTTCAGTTGGCCCTAGCAAAAATACGACAAGGATTCTTTGTGTGGAAACTTCCAATTGGTTTCATATTGTTATAAGATTTCAGAAAACGTTGAAAAAAAGGGTTTCCCATGACGCTGGAACGGAAGTAAAAAATATTCAATCTAGCATGTGGCCTATAAGCTGTTGGTAGGAATTACTCCAACAGGGGCAATTAGCTTTCTGTCGAAGTGTTGGGGCGGCCGTGTGTCAGACAAGGAGCTGACAATCAACAGTGGCTTCCAGCAACAGCTTGAGCATGGGGACCAGGTAAATAAATGTATTCCCATACAAACCCACTAGCAAAGAATAGTTATTGCATAATTCATGGAGACAATATTGATTACATTAATATTTTCTGACTTTTATTGAAGGTTATGGCAGATTGGGGATTTCTTTTTTGTGAAGAACTTCTCTGCAGACCCGCCAGACACGCTTGATGAGCGCTTTTTACATCACAGAAGTGAGTAAACTTCAGGGACTCTTGCAGAGGAGGAAGGTTGTCAGAGGGAGTTGCTCTGTAGGAAGGTGAAGGGAGGCGCTCAGAAGGAGGTGCTGAGGCTGAATGATCAGCACGGGCTGGTCTGAGCGGAATAGTGAGAGATAGGGACCAATCAGGACCAACAGAGTCACACGTGTGAGCGGTCGCGTATTCCTGCCGCTGTCTGCGAAAAAGCGGAGGATCTTTTTATGATTTTTTTATTTTTTTAAATTATATTCCTAGACACAAACATGTGTATTCTATTTGAACATTCGTATTGCTGTTGTTGCTGTTGCCATAAATCTTCATATGGATCAACTTTCATCTCCAGAGTTCATTGTAAAGGCGGTATAAATATTCATATATATTGAATTATTCCTTTTTAAACAATTTTTTTGTAGCCGACCCCACGCCTATAAGATATACCTATCTTATAAATGTCCGTAGACCCAGAAATGTATGTGTCAGAACAACAAAACCCTCAAAAAACCATATTTCATAAAACGGTCTCTATCTCCCTTTCTAGGAAATTCACAGTGATTTTCATGAAAGTTTCCGATCTTTTGTTTAGGATATCTCAGGGGCAAAAGCTGGTAGAAACGGAAGGTTTTCACCATCTGAAAGTTCAAAGCCTCACCTTTCCAACGCGTCATAGCATGTGTTTATGACAGTAACACAGAATATGCTGTGGCTTTGCAAATATTAGGAAAAATTGACATAATGGCTGGCATTATAGACTCAAGCTGTGGAAACAAGGCTGGCACTCAATAAGTTAATATTTTAATCATTATGAAGTAACCATTTGTTACTACATATATAGATGGTTTGTAACACCATGATTAAACCAAATGTTAATGATTAATAATTGTATACTTGATTATAAACTAATACTGCAGCGCATGATTTATTTAGTCAGTTACTAATAGTTAGTTAAGAGTTTTTGTGAGCTTTTGTAAAGTATACACTATTTACATTTTCTTACACATTTTTTAAAGACGCTTTTGTGTGACAATTAATTTTTGTGTGACATATTTTATCCATCCATTCATCCTATCCACACACACTTCCTCCAGCTCGTCCGGGGGGACCCCAAGGCGTTCCCAGGCCAGCTGAGAGACATAGTCTCTCCAGCGTGTCCTGGGTCTTCCCCGGGGCCTCCTCCCGGTGGGACGTGCCCGGAACACCTCCCCAGGAAGGCGTCCAGGAGGCGTCCGGAACAGATGCCCGAGCCACCTCAACTGGTTCCTCTCGATGTGGAGAAGCAGCGGCTCTACTCCGAGCTCCTCCCGTGTGACCGAGCTCCTCACCCTATCTCTAAGGGAGCGCCCAGCCACTCTGCAGAGGAAGCTCATTTCGACCGCTTGTATCCGCGATCTCGTTCTTTCGGCCATTTCCCTCTTTACCACAACGGTCCGATACAGCACGCTGCACCGATCCGCCTGTCAATCTCACGCTCCATCCTTCCCTCACTCGTGAACAAGACCCCTGCACTTGAGGAAGGACTGCTCCACCCACCCGGAGAGGGCAAGGCACCTCACATTGTTTAATTTGTTTAAAATAATTTCACATAAAAAATACAATTCTTTGCATTGTTTCTGTTTTGTGTCATAATAAGAAACTATTTCATACATTGTAAAATATCAGTGAAGAAAAAAAAAACTTTTCTGCTTGAAAATGTGTGTTTCACAAAAAGGCTGTTTTCTCCATATCTTGGTCAGAACGTCCTCTGTCAAAAAACAGGAACCCTGCTGTCAATCAGGAACACCTCAGCGCCACCTCGATACCGGGCCACTCCCAAACGTTTGGTTCCATCAGAGAGCTCAACACGGTCTCCCTGGATCCTGATCACAATCCAGTGATTGCCGAGTTCCCTTGTCCTCCAGGCCCTCAAATATGGACATGCAGCCGCTGTGGGAGAGGGGGGGGGGGCACTTTTACACACGGGACAGGGGAATTGACGTTGTTGAGAGCGATCCTCAAAAGTGTGTACACGTCCCTTCGCTTAGCTCGTTTCCAGCGCTGTGCCCTGCCCGCTCACCCCGCTGCCCCACGTCCTGGACTCTCCCTGTCTCTGCTCCAGTGGGGAGCAGAAACTTTTAACGCAAAGTCAATGGTGACAGGCGTTTGAGTGTGGAACTGCATGTGTGTCTCGGCACGCACGCACGGCTAGCGTGGTAGAGAGGCACGGACTGCGCAGCAGAGGCGCAGGAGCGGAAAACCGACGCAAGCAGGAAATAAACATTGCTGAACTTTTTACTCTGGACGCACGTACAGCAACCATCACAGAGCTGCAAAGTGATCACAGGGACATCAGCGGTCAAGCAAGCAGACTGAAAATACTTGTAAGCCAAAACAAGAGCTAAACCAGGACTAAACCAGGGTTGACAATGAGGAACACAGTGCCTGTGAACATAGACCTCCTGCCAGGGTTATCATTCTCCAGTGACTGTAAACTAGTGAAGCTAGCATGTTCGCCGATATGGAAGTACCGTTTAATATTAAAACATACTTTTGCCGCACCTCAGTGAACACATACTACTGTTATATAAAGTCTATGGAAGATCTCTGGACACAGAGACACTGCAGAGCTGCATTCCTGGAGAAGAACTAGCGCAAAAAGCCACTAGCTTAACTCCGTCAGCATCAAAGCCCGCCCACCACTTTCATCGGGCGCCACCTCAGCCCAAGACTTCTGGTCTGAACACCCCTAGCATCTGAAATGCGTCTAGTGCACGTGGAAGCTGCGTTTTAGCGTTGGCGGTCTGAACGAGTTTGTATGTTCTCCCTGGGTCTGCGTACGTTTTCTCCAGGTGCTCCGGTTCCCCCACCACTAATAACATTAACAATAGGTTTGGCATGCATACTGGCGACTTCCATCTCTGTGTGGAGTGAGTGACAAATCCCCACAATTGTAAAGCGCTTTGTGGCTCCGCTCCTTGGAAGGTGCAATATAAATTATTTGTATTTATTTATTTACTACTACACCTGGACAAACACGGCCCTAATTGAGTGTGTTCCTTCAAAGAGTTTGTACTCCAGCGTTGTATGCTGTTTGAATACTCTGACTGCTCTACTGGATGGACAGCTCTACTGGATGGACAGCATTGTTTGCCAGCAATGCTAAAAATGCTGTTCCAACCGCAGATGACTACTGTGAAATGACAACTGTTGTAGTTGCAGGCAAAGAAAACTCACAAATGAACTGTTATATGCTGTGTGATGGAAACTACATTGAACCTCGAGGGCAGGTCTAATTTTTATAAAAAATAAATACGATATAATATTTTTGACAAGCATATTACACATTAAAGTAAATTAATCATTTTAAATTTAATATGTGAAACAATTGTATAATACATACATTTTTATGATGGATTGAAAGTGTAACACTGGACTCAGGGACCAGGGTTCTTTATTAATTTATTCATAAAATAATACACATTTATTTTTGAACATTTGTCTCACAGCTCATCTTGCGGTATGCTAATTTTGGAAAATGGAAAAAAATCTGAAATATGGAATCTGATAAAGCAAGGATTTGTTGTTAGTTGTAGAATCACCCAAAACATCTCGTCAGCTGAAAAACAGCTGTTTGTGGCTCAGTCTTTCATTCTCTATTGGTTCATTAAGCCTGGATTTTCAGGCTGCACCACTTCTCCAGAGAGACTTGTACAGTACAGTACAGTACAGTACAGTACAGTACAGCACAGCAGTAGCAGCGGTTGTGTTCAGCTTCCATCATGGCGGTCAACATCCCTGGAGTCATTTCGATGGTGTTCTTCTACCTTGTGGTGCTGGGGACGGGCATCTGGGCTTCTTTCAAGTCCAGGAGGGAACAGAAGAGACAGGGAGCATCTGAGATCGAGATGACTCTGCTGGGGAACCGAAAAATCAACCTGGTGGTGGGGGTCTTCACTATGACAGGTATGGATCGGGTGATTTACAGAATGGGGGGACAACGTTTCAGATGTATGCAGCTTAAATCTGGAACAGTCTTCCTGAACATGTGAGACAGGATTCTACTCTGACAAGTTAAAGTCCAGGTTAAAACATGTTTCACTGCAGACAACTGAGGGATTGCATCTTCACTCTTTTTAATGCACTGTGATTTTTTTATGTTGTGTGTTGTTTCTATATTGTTTTTTCAACACTTTGTGTTGCTTTGTGTGTGAACTGTGTTATACAAATAAACTTGCCTTACCTGATATTAATGCATCCGACTTATCCATAGCTTCATGTGGAATTATTTGCTCTATACACCGGCCCTTCTGTCAAAATATCCCATTTTCAAACTAGTTAAGCTAATTCGATTCCTGAGGCTATGACGTCATCAACAGATATGTTGAAAAGTCACACTTTGATATCCTGCATTTGACCCATCTTTCCAATAACACTAGGCCCTCTAGCAGAAGCAGTGGTCACCGTAGTAACAGGGGCCCCATCTCCAGATGTTGATTCTCTACAGCAGTGTCTCCCAAAGTGGGGTCCGCGGCCCCCTGGTGGGCCGCGAGGGTACTGCAGGGGGGCCGCGGGAGGTCATAAAAAAAAAATAATAATAATATAATTATTTAATGTTAAATTTATAATGTTTTGTTTGTAATATTAAAATATTTGTGTTCATTATTTGACTTGAATAATCCACTGTAATCATTTTTGTATTACAATGTTTGTAGCAGAGGCTATTTCCCCAAAATAAAATAACCAGAAGAGCCTATTCTTAATGTTGTCTTCTTGGTTATTATTTTGGGGGGCCACGCAGACCCGTCAGATTTTTAAGGGGGCCTCGGTGTTACTGAGTTTGGGAATGGCTGCTCTACAGGACCAAAGCTTTGGTAAATGTTTTTATTGATAGGGAAACTAGAAAAGACACAGAGAGAAAATGTAACCTACACAAAAAGGCCCTGATGGGGATTTGAACCAAAGACCTTTTTGCTGAGAAGAGAGAGTGCTAACCATTCAGCCACTGTGCCGCCCAATCTGTTATGTGCCTTAATACAAGAATTCCCAGAGCAGTCAATTTGACAGCTTTTATTTTTAGAAGTGTAGTTACTTTGCTTCTGTAAATTCTTAATAATCGGTTTCTATAGATATTTATAATTGAAATATGAGTTAGCAACACACCGTTTACAGTTGGCCATTTAGCATTTTGTGAAATAAACTGTTTTTGCTGTATTTCAAGTCATATTAAACAGTTTACTTCTAATACATCTATTGGGAAATTAAAATATTTTGGGAGAAATCTATGAAAATGTCATGGGTTTGAATGGGAGCGGTCAAAAGGATGGCTCTTGTCACAACCCCTCCTGCCCTTCTGGCCTCTTCAGCCACTCCCTGAGAGGCTGGCCTACCTTCCCCTCCCCTTTTGTTGCAGGATTGTAACAGGTGTGCTGGAGGCAATCCACAGTCGAGTTCACTCTTCATCATCAGCAAGAAGGATTGAAAAGCCTCTGCAGCGAGCTCAGCTGTGCCAGATCATTTAAACTTCTAGTTCTCCGGCCACCTGCTATTCCTGCTCTCTCCTGCCCTGGTTTTGCTCCGTCCTGCCCCCATCCTTCCCTGGTTCTGCTCCGTCCTGCCCTGCCCCTGCCCCATCCTGCCCTGGTTCTGCTCCGTCCTTCTCTGTCCTGCCCTGGTTCTGCTCCGTCCTGCCCTGCCCCTGCCCCATCCTGCCCTGGTTCTGCTCCGTCCTGCTCTGTCCTGCCCTGGTTCTGCTCCGTCCTTTTCTGTCCTGCCCTGGTTCTGCTCCGTCCTGCTCCATCCTGCGCTGGCTCTGCTCTGTCTAGCCCCACTTGGTCCTGCCCTGACCCAATAAATATCACCCTCTGTACTTATTCAGTGTCTACTCGTGGGTTCTTTGCCTTGATTTCTTGAGAGCTCTAGTGTCACAACAAAAGTATTGGCTCTTCTCATCTGCAGTTCCATGTTAGAGGTTAAGAAAGTGTCCTCTTTTACCACAACCACAAGAGTTTTGCTCATTCGAGTCGAGATCTGGATCTCTGCTTGTTCTGGAGGTGACAACAGTAGATGTCACTTCCAGATAGTTGTGCAAAGCAAGTGTATTTGTATTATATATATTATATGTTCCTCCTGTGGACTCACCACCTGCAGAGGGTCAGTGAAGGGCTGGTGCTATGAGACTTGGGTGGCATCTCTGATTGCCACCCCCCTGTCCCAGAAATGGATTAAAGGGTAGAAAATGGATGGATGGATGGATATTATATGTTCGGCTAAACTAAACAGAAGTGTTTTTAACCTGGATTTGAACATTGTCAGCAGATCCTTCAGTCAGAGACTCAGAGTGTCGATGCTTCAGGAAGACTTTCATACTGCTGCAATAAGAATCATGTTAATGTTTGTTTGTAAATGTATAAAATAAAAACAGTGGCTCAGTGGGTAAAGCCTGAAGGATGTGTGTTCAGCCATAGACTTGAAATATTGACGAACATGGTCACGCCTATCTCCATCATCCAAACTAATGTCCCATCACTTTTGCTGTCTATGGGGCTTTTCAGAATGTCTGAGGGGGCTGGAAAATATGAAAAAACGCAATTGCGCATTCCTTTGACAAGTGCATGTTAAAAAGTTTATACTTGTTCTTTGACGCTAGAGTTAGAGATTTTGTTTTATTTGAATTAGTACAGCTATTGTGTACCGATATTGTGCTGTCCTCTTTCCTACTTTCCCAGCTCTGGAACGAATAAAGGATCTCCTAATTCTAACCCTAGCCCACATGGGAAGCGTCAATAGTTAGTTAGATGTTGAATGAGGCCTTGTAGAATAAGGGCTAATAAGTTCTTAATTTTAACCAATTGATAGTTAATTTACCATCAATTACAGTATATACTAAGTAGGTGCTGTGGCTACAATCCGGTGTGAGGAGTGAATGAATAATGACATGTGAACCGTCTTTGAGGGTCCAGAAAAGCTTTATGAATAAAACCATATATCATTTGTGTCTTTTGTGTTCCCCGTGTGTGGCACAGCGTCCTGGGTGGGAGGAGGCTTCATCGTGGGCACCGCTGAGACCGTGTACCGGCCCTCGATGGGACTCACTATGGCCCTGATCTTACTCTCGGCTTACAGCTGCTCCTTCCTCCTCTGTGAGTACAGCTTCAGGAGAGTGCGGACGCTTTGAAGTCCGATCGTGACTGTTCAAAGCAAGGACCACGCCACACCAGTAGAGTAGAGTAGAGTAGGGCCGGTGGAAAGAGGTTTTAGACTTTGATCCTGGACTCTAACTACTCGGTGATATCAAATTCAATTCAATCTATTTTTGTATAGCCCTAAATCACAACGGTAGTTATCATTGAGAATGTTACAAAGTACGAATCAGAGAATAAAACAGTCCAAACACAGGAAATGCAACAATTAAAAAACACATAGAGCAATTGGTCCATAAAGAGCAGAAGACCAATGTACGTACTGTACATGTTGTTAAATGTCCATAAATGTCCCTTAATGTCCTGGATCATCACCACTGTTCTTAGACCCTTCTGCATCTGCAAGGAACCACTCAAAAACACATTGAGGAAGGGATCTGCTACCACAAACGGACAGTCTGTAGGTACCAGGACTCAGACTGTAGAACAAGGACTAAGGAGGCTCTCGAGGGGCGGGGAGACAGTCCAAAGGTGCAGATGAAGAAGACCTGTGGACAAAAGACACTTGAAATATACCTTCTGGAACATGGGGAAAGGGCAAGGGGGTGAGGTGTTGGCTGGAGAGGAAAAGGTTGAGGCGCGGTCCTTTTCCGTCAACAAATAAACTAATCTCCATTTCTATGATGCAGGTGGATTTGTGTTTGCTAAACCTTTAAGAGACCAAAGATGTGTCACCATGATGGACCCCTTCCACAGGAAGTACGGCAAGGCTCTCACATCCGGTTTCTGCATGGTCTCTGTCTTCCTAGATGTTTTGAATATGGCCTCGACGTTAATTGGCTTAGGTAATACAACACATACAGTTCATGGGAACAAACATACAAATACATACGAGGCTGTCAAACTCATTTCCGGAAAGTTTTCATTCACAAAGTACCACTCTCTATGGCCTCTCCCTGGTCTCTTTCTATTGTCTCTCTTGCTGGTCTCTCTTCAGTCTCTATCACTTGTCTTTCTGAGCTCTCTAGTCTCTCTGGTCTCTCTCGCTGTAGTGTATCTCTAGTCTCTCTCTCTGAGCCCTCTAGTCCCTCTGGTCTCTCTCTGGCCCCTGGAAAATTCTGGTGAACTACAGTAGCCCCCTTAGTCAAAAGTTTGCTTTGATTGGATTGAAAGCCTACAAATGAACACCTATGAGTTTGACAGCTCTGTTGTTGCACATGTGGAAACTGTCAGCTGGTGTTGATGCAGGAGCCACGGTGAGTCTGGTCCTGGACCTGCCCTACGGAGCCAGCATCTGGATCTCTGCAGCTGTGGCGGTCACCTACACTCTGATGGGGGGACTCTACTCTGTGGGCTACACCGACATCATCCAGCTCACACTCATCGTCGTCAGCCTGGTGAGCATATCTGATGTGTATATCTGACAAAACCCAAAAATAAGAATTTAAAGTAGCAATATGTAAGTTATTCATATCCAGTCATCATTAAAGCTAAAGGATTCAAAAATAAATTAAAAACATTGGAAGTGTGTTGAAACATTCAAGACACTGGATGCAAATTACTTTGTTTTGTAAGCAAAGGAAGGTTTCTCACCCATCATCTGTACTTCTTAGCAAGTTTTCCCGATGTTTCGTCCTCAATCTAGCGGACTTCTTCAGGGAATGAATTCTCGGACCGCGCGTTGGAGATTTATAACCTATGGGTGTGGTTAGCCACACCCTAATCCTGATACTAACTCATAAACAATCTACGGTCTGCTTGATGTAGAAGGGAGCAGGTCTAACGACCCTGCTGATGCTAACGACCCTAACTCCTTAGCATGTCACAGACCTATTGTCTGCTGGGATGCTCAAGTGGAGTGCAGGTCTCACCCCTCCTAACTCATTAGCATGTCACTGACCTTGTCCCAAGTTAGGGCGTTGTTTTTAGGATGTCGTCATAGATGCGAGGCAAAACAAATCTTAACCCTCCTCCTCTGTTAAGAGAAGGTTTTTGTTTCCTCACAAAAATGGCTTCTTTCACTCCTCTCTCAAACCAATTCTTCTCCCGAGCCAGAATTTTAACCTCTGTGTCATCCACCGTGTGGTTGGAGGCCTTGAGGTGGAGATGAACAGCCGACTGTGGCCCACTAGAGTTTTCTCTACGATGTTGGTAAAGTCGTTTCTGTAGAGTCTGTTTGGTTTCTCCAATATAGTGGTCAGTGCACTCCTCTTCACTACATTTAATTGAATACACCACATTGCTCTGTTTGTGTCTGGGTGTTTTGTCTTTGGGATGCACTAATTTCTGTCTTAACGTGTTGAAAGGTTTGAAATACACAGGGATTTTGTGTTGCCTAAAGATTCTTTGTAGTTTCTCTGAAACTCCCGCCACATACGGTAAGGACACGCCTCTCCTCCTACTTTCTTCTGTCTGTTGGACTGTGTCTCTGGCCTTTCTCGTCCTTTGGGCTTTAGTAAAAGACCACTTGGGGTAGCCACATCTGGAAAGTGCTCTCTGAACATGTTTGGTTTCTCTGTTCTTTCCCTCCGAGCTTGTGGGGACCTGGTGGGCTCGGTGTTGAAGCGTTCTAATGACCCCGAGTTTATGTTGTAGCGGATGATTTGAGTCAAGCTCGGAGGGAAAGAACAGAGAAACCAAACATGTTCAGAGAGCACTTTCCAGATGTGGCTACCCCAAGTGGTCTTTTACTAAAGCCCAAAGGACGAGAGAAGGCCAGAGACACAGTCCAACAGACAGAAGAAAGTAGGAGGAGAGGCGTGTCCTTACCGTATGTGGCGGGAGTTTCAGAGAAACTACAAAGAATCTTTAGGCAACACAAAATCCCTGTGTATTTCAAACCTTTCAACACGTTAAGACAGAAATTAGTGCATCCCAAAGACAAAACACCCAGACACAAAACAGAGCAATGTGGTGTATTCAATTAAATGTAGTGAAGAGGAGTGCACTGACCACTATATTGGAGAAACCAAACAGACTCTACAGAAACGACTTTACCAACATCGTAGAGAAAACTCTAGTGGGCCACAGTCGGCTGTTCATCTCCACCTCAAGGCCTCCAACCACACGGTGGATGACACAGAGGTTAAAATTCTGGCTCGGGAGAAGAATTGGTTTGAGAGAGGAGTGAAAGAAGCCATTTTTGTGAGGAAACAAAAACCTTCTCTTAACAGAGGAGGAGGGTTAAGATTTGTTTTGCCTCGCATCTATGACGACATCCTAAAAACAACGCCCTAACTTGGGACAAGGTCAGTGACATGCTAATGAGTTAGGAGGGGTGAGACCTGCACTCCACTTGAGCATCCCAGCAGACAATAGGTCTGTGACATGCTAAGGAGTTAGGGTCGTTAGCCTCAGCAGGGTCGTTAGATCTGCTCCCTTCTACATCAAGCAGACCGTAGATTGTTTATGAGTTAGTATCAGGATTAGGGTGTGGCTAACCACACCCATAGGTTATAAATCTCCAACGCGCGGTCCGAGAATTCATTCCCTGAAGAAGTCCGCTAGATTTAGGACGAAACGTCGGGAAAACTTGCCAAGAAGTACAGATGATGGGTGAGAAACCTTCCTTTGCTTTGACTAATCCCTGTACGACTGAGAGCTTACACAAACTTTTGTTTTGTAAGGGTGTGAAGTATCATTTTTGCGACATTTTCAGCTGCTGGTGTGCCACATAATGTTTCAATGGAAAAGGTTTGCCACCACTCAAAAAGGGTAGATCACTGTTTTAAGGCAATACACATGAAATTGAATTCAATTGAATTATCACCCGAGATGAAATGAAACACTACTCCTCTACGGTCATGTATAAAAAGATGCATGATGTGTGTGTGTGTGTGTTTCTCTTGTATCCAGTGGGCGTGTGTTCCCTTTGTGTTGCTGAGCCCCTTCACCGTGAGCATCCATGAGACTCTGCTGAACAACACTCTGCACTCCCCCTGGATCGGGACTCCACATGTGCACAGGCTCTGGACCATGGTGGACGACTTCTTACTCATGGTGGGTCCTTAGTCTACAAATCACACGTCATTAGCTACACTACAAAAAATTACAAAATATGAGGTAATAAATGCTTGAAGCAAGTGTTTTTTTTTTGTCTTAATTCAAACACATTCAATTCAAACATTTAGTCTTATTTCAAGGAATTAATATTTTTTAAATTCAAGATCATTTTACTTGTCCCATCAGCAAATCTTCTCTTGAGGCAGTCAGAATATCAAATTAAGATACATTTAGCCAAATGTATCAACATTTTTCCCCACTGTGGGACCAACAAAGCAACATTTTAGAAAAACTTTTTTTTATTCAGCTCAATGCCTTTTTAAACGACCAAAACGTTTTAGAAAAAAATTCAATCAGGTTTTAGTGTGAACTATAGCACAGAGACTGCTCTTTTAAAGATTTTAAATTATTTTAAATTATTGATTCTAAAAAGGTGACTGTGTTGGTTCTACTGGATCTTAGCGCTGCCTTCGATACAGTAGACCATTATTTTATCCCGCCTGAAACAGCTCGGCCTCTCCGGTGCTGTCCACAAATGGTTCATTTCTTATTTAACAGACAGATCCTTCATGGTAAGTTTGGATACCTGCTCCTCTCAGGTCCTGTTGTATTTATAAATACGTGACATTCTAAAACCATGTGTTTTATGACCTAGCTAACCTCTAAGTGGGAGGCCAGTCCTTCTTATTTTATTTTAGGTGTCTTCTTGTGCCAGCAACTGGACAACAGATTCTCCAGACAATAGGTCTGTGACATGCTAAGGAGTAAGGGTCGTTAGCCTCAGCAGGGTCGTTAGACCTGCTCCCTTCTACATCAAGCAGACCTTAGATTGTTTATGAGTTAGTATCAGGATTAGGGTGTGGCTAACCACACCCATAGGTTATAAATCTCCAACGCGCGGTCCGAGAATTCATTCCCTGAAGAAGTCCGCTAGGTTGAGGACGAAACGTCGGGAAAACTTGCTAAGAAGTACAGATGATGGGTGAGAAACCTTCCTTTGCCCAGTACTTTGATCAACACAAAAACTGAAATGGGTCAAATTGACCCTTAACATAATACAAGGGTTAAGACTCTCTCGTGTATGGACGATGAAATGGGAAACTGGAAGAAAAGAGTTATTTATAATCAACATAATTACAGAAGGAAAGTAATGAACGGCCCTCTTTAATGTCAGAAGAAAAGTTTACAATTGGAAGTTAAAGCCTTCTCTAGTCGTCATCAATTTGTGTTTTTTTATTTGATCACAATTTGTTTGTATAGTCTAATCTGAACTCTGTAGATTTTGGGACCATGTTACACGCAGAACAGTGGTCAATGTTTGAATCCTCTGACAGATTGCATTCAAAGCTGATCACAAAGCAAGATTGTGTGGTAGAATGCTCCCACAGCTCTGAGACAAAGAATACTGCTGCTGTACACGTCCCAGAGCACGGTGACTCACCACATTTGCTCGGACCCACAGAGACACATTCATGGCCTCCACATTCTCTCCTCGCAGGTTGAGAAACACAATCATTATCAATGTACGCTTACATTATCACCATGATGATCCACCACAACCTTGAGTGAGAATCAGCGCAAAGAACAAAATACCCACCGGTGAAGGGAGATTAAAAGCAGTACAGTTAATCAAAAGCATGAGATATATGAATATGTGATGCTTGTATCCAGGCGCTGGATGGGACAGAAGCACGAGGCACATATGTGACAGAGATGGCCTCGTTTGGGGGCAGGAGGGGGATTGGTCTGATGTGATGCGTGTGGCTCTTGATGGCAGAATGATGGGGATCTTTGTACCGGGCGAGCCTGAGCAGTCAGGTCCTACCTCCCATAATGCAACACAATGTGTGTGTTGGAATGCAGAAGGCGATGGGACCAGGCTGACTGCCAATCACCCCAGCCTTTGCCAAGCAGGTGGTCATGAGCAGGTCATTTTACAAGATGTATTAAGAGGCTTCAAATGTGAACTTTGAACACACACATTGCAATTCAAACATGGTCCATAAAAATAGGATTATATTTTATGCTAATATGTACACAGTGTTGGGAGTAATGTATTGCAAAAGTAATGTAATCACTGTGATATATAACTTTTTGGGTGAAACTGTGAATAACTAGTCACATTTCAACAACATAATCTCTTTAATACATGTTGTCAGCCGCTGGTTCAAAACTACAGGTTATCTGGACATCAGCACAAACAGACAAGTTTTACAGACTGCAGCAGTCTGGGTCTCTGCTAGATGGAAAGCAGCAGAGTGACAAAGAAATGGACCAAAAGATCTGGTCTTATACCCTGATAATTCGAAACACATGTGACCATTTGGTGACAATATGACCTAGGTGAGAAAACCAATCTCCTCTCATCAGTCAGGAGTCTTCTTGTCACAACACAGATGTTTTCTACCTTCATGCTTTGTTTACTCTGCTCTTTCACGCTTACCTGGGGGATGGGAGAGAATGCTCCATCCCACCACACAGTAGGTTAACCCAAAGCTATCTAAACTTTGAATATATTCTAATTCACTGTAATGAAAATACAACAACTCCTCTAACAGAAACGCAGTAATCTAAGGCATTACAACAAACGGTCGCCCACAAGGACAACAAAAAACACCAGGACAGGACTGAGTTTGTTGGAAAAAAAGTCAAGTGAACTTTATGTGGCAAACCAAAAGTATCTTAAAAGTCATACAGAAGTTGTGTAATGTGTTACAATTCAGAGACAGCAATACTATAGTGTAATACATTACTTAAATAACAGTAACAAGTAATGCATAATGTATTATGTCAGATTTGCAGTATGAATCATGAGTTTACATTCCCTGGCTGATTGTGCACATCAATTGTTATGATAAGTATAGCGGCTGGGTGAAGACGAGTAGATGAGAACTGCCCAGGACAAATACCATTCAAATCTGTTTGTTAGTGTTTTCGGTCTCAGTATGATTTAAACACAAATGTCCACAGCTCCATGCCCTCAAAGGTGTGCTGTTCATTTACAGCCTCACTTTGTGCCTGGGGCGTGCAGACTTATGAGCGCATCTGTGTGGCCTGAGCGCATATACATACAGAGTGGTCTCCTGTGCACTGCTGTCAGCTCATGTAAGCGCGCACTATAACCGCGTGAACACACAGCCGCCATCGACCGGCTCCAGAGGACACACTAATCACCACTATGAATTACATTATAGAAAAGGACAAACACGTTCGGGACGGCCGACTTAAGAGAATACTGAGGGAACTTTTCTGCACCGCTGTAGTAGACGGGCGGGTCGATACGCATTTCTCCGGCTGTCGGGAGCGCGATGAATAAAACAGCTCCAAGCTGAAGCGCGCAGGGCCATGGTGCTCTCTGTAACCCCGCAGCAACATGCGCTCCATCATATTTATACACACGGATTAGTATTTTATAAGGGCTTTCTGAGGCTGCAACAGAAACGGCTCCATATGTCACGCCCTTACTCTCCTCTTGATGCGAGTTTTAAAAGACAAACACAAACGACCATGCATAAATACCAGTCAGCGCAAGAGACGAGGTTCTTCAAATACATGGGCTGTTCTCTGGTCATAATCAATGTATACTGTCATTCCTTTTCCCAGTCCCTATTTCTACAGTATGTGTTCTGGATCCCTCTCTTTAGATAGGCCCGCCTGAGGTTTATCAGTGTTTCTGGGACATTTATACACATTTATTATGATTTCTAGACAGAATCATCCCACTCCCCTTGGACCAATGGCTCCTATGTGTTTGTTATTATTGCATGTGTTTGAACTGTTTGTTTCTCTGATCTGATCTGACATTACCTCTATGCACGAAAATGGCTATAATTTCACAGGTTTTGAGTGTTTTATGGTGGTATCGCCCAAATTATTATCATACATATTCTTAGGATGGACTGTGAACAATGATGGGAAGTGAAATAGGACCTTTCAGACAGATATCTTTATTATCCTAATGTTGGGTTCCAATTTAATTAATGCTACTTCTTCAGCTGTTACAGTCATGATATGGCGCCAGCTGCGAGCGAAAGCCAGATCCAAATCAGACCTCTAACGCTAAGCACGACAATTTCTGGTAAGACACGGGAGACCTCTGGGAACATTGGGTGTGTGTGTGAATGGTTGTTGGGAGTGGGAGCTCTCAAAGACACACGTTTTTGTATTGCTCCAGAGTTCAACATGTGTGTGTCAGACGTTCGTGGATTTCTTCAAATGCTGCTTTCACATTTTTACACTGTCAGGCTTCACAGGGGTCCCACTTATGGCAATTCAGAAGGGCCCATTATGCATGAAGGGGGTGTCTGTGGTAAACTGGTGCAGCCTCTCCCTTACAGTTATACACAGCTATACAGAGACCTCCTCAGACCTACCACTGACCTGCACTGACTTCCACAGACTTACATAAGGCTGGTCGGTCATTATCCTCATAGAGAGAAGGTTCACTCTTGTTAGGTGTGTGGAGGCAACTGATGTGCACTGCAACGACACCACCAGTGGAACAAGCATACACATATCTTTTTCTCACTGACATATTGCACAGTGTCCCGTGGGATACAGCTTGGCTTGACACAATGGTATGCATCTTCGATTTTAAAGTCCTACATCTAATCTGTGTTTGATATGAACAGCTTGAGAAGTATGATAGGTGTGACTCGGGTGGATAGAATGAGGAATGTAACAGTTGGGGAGAGATTGACAAAGAGAGTGACAAATAGTTGCATGAGTGGTTGTAGACCAGAGGAAGGCCAAGGAATGGATGGAATGAAGGTGTAAGGAGAATGTATGACAGTGGATGAAGCAAGAGTTTGCACACAAGAAAGGGAAGCAAATGGTGAGTGATTTTGAATGCAGGAACTGATACAACACTGGTGGGTGCACTGCCGCCATGAAGCTGTTTTCACTTTAGAATCAGAATCAGAATCAGAATCATTTTTATTGCCACGTAAGTAACAGGAGGTCACAGACTAGGAAATTGCTTTGGCTCAGTGCAACAGTCAAAAAGAGATAATAAAAATAAGAATAAGAAAACACTTCTAAAGAATAAATTTAAATTTAAAATAGAGTTACAGTTACTATTTACAATATACAAGTGCACATGGTGCACACAATGTAAGGTGACAGCAGTACAGTGAAGTAAAGTGACGTATGATGGGCAGTAAAGTGACTTTATAAAGGGCGGGGGGACAGGTTAAGAAGTGTTCAAGAGTCCAACAGCAGAGGGGAAGAAACTGTTCTTGTGGCGGGAGGTTCTAGTCCTGATGGACCGCAGCCTCCTGCCTGAGGGGAGTGGTTGGAATAGTCCATGTGCAGGGTGAGAGGGGTCGGCTGTGATACGACCAGCCCGGCTTCGAGCTCGGGCGACGTACAGGTCCTGCAGCGATGGAAGGCTGCGGCCGATCACTTCCTCTGCAGCGTGGCTTGGTGCCAACAGTGGAGCTATGTTTCCAGGCTGGGATGGGTCCTTATGTATGTCAGCCAACACAGATGGGCTTCTTGATGATGCGGGGCCCCGGCGAGATGTGGATGGGGTCATGGGCGAGCTGCCGGACTGCACACAATTGGTGTTATGAATACCAATATTGTCTGAGTGTAGCATAAGATGCATTTGACACACACATCACCAAAGATGTAACTGTGTGTATGTTTTCAAGAGGGTTGGACAATGGGCCTCATTCACGAATAACTTCGTAAGAAACTTCTCAAATTTCTTCTCAAGTTCTCCTTAAGTAGATTTCTAAGAAGTCCCTACGTGGGATTCATCAACGCACTCGTAAGCAGCTGAATTGTTCGCAGCTGTTCTCTTAGATTGATGAATCCCATTTCCTCGTAAGTACAGCGCTCGTGCCAGGTGCTTCATTAGCATAGGTACTTAGCATAAGTAAACCGCCCATTAATGCCCATAAAAGGGACTGCAGGGCCGTGCGCGCAGAACCCACTCAGGAAACAGCAAAAATGCCAAAAGCGAAGAGCAAGTCGTTGGAGCGCAGCCAGTGAAGAGGAAAAAGAACTTCAGCAGTTCAGAACTCGAAGTCCTACTGCTGGAGGTCACGAGGAGGAAGAAGACTCTATTCAGTAGCCTCAGTGCAGGTTGCACTAATACTAATAAGAAGGAGGCCTGGGAGGGCAGTATGGCGTGCGGTGGATGCGGTCTCAGGAGAGGGACGCAGCATAGAGGAGGTCAGGAAGAAGTGGTTCGACCTGAAATCCGAAACAAAAAGGACACATAGCCAAACACCGGAGGGAGACGCAACGGACTGGAGGCGGGGGGGCAGCAAACACCATGCCCAAGTCTGATCTGGATCAGCGCATTGGGCCATCATCGGGGAGACGGCACTCTCAGGTAGGCTATGTGAACAATCAAGGTCACTGTATTTAATCATATTAATTAATTAATATTCTCACTTTTCAGGTGTACCATCAACTGAGTCACTGGACACAGATGCAACGCGTTCATCCCCTCCCTGTGCCGCTGCCATTCCAGTTTAATCTGAAGGCAAATTGTTTAAATATGTTTCGATTCGGGCCTTTTTTCTTTTTTTATTTCTATACTTAAAGCGTGTGCCCGGTAAGGGTGGAGTCTACCATAGTGTGTAACCCAAATAAGGCCTTTTTTGGACTGGGGTTGCAACCTTTTTTTTTTTATTTTTTTTATTAATTGTGTTTATTTGAACATCGAATAAATGTATGTTAACGCTGGTTCAGCCACGGTTTCTCCTTCGATGAAAAATGGACCACAAATTCTGCTTAGATATATGAAAAGGTTTAATATATAAAAAGACAGAATATAAGATACAGACAAGTGGCAGACTGCTTGATCAGTCTGGGCCCTGCTCCCTGGCACACCCAAAGCAAAAGACCCTGTTTCAAGACAGGCTATCGATGAAAAGCACACAGTCACATGACCTGATAATTGAAAACACATGTCTCACCATCCTTAGGTGAACACAATAGCTCCTTTCTCCAAAACACACAAATAGCCCCTGTGTAAGTAAGCCTGAGGCTATAACAGATGTTTTCTGCGCTCTTAATTTAACTTCCTGTGTATAATAGCTGGGGGTTTGACTCCGCACATTCTTCACCCTGCCTGGATCCTGGATCAATACTACTACTAGTTTTTAGATCCACACTAGACTAAACGTTACATTTATTAATATGATAATAACACAATAACATACTCCATTGACATAATTCCCCCCTATTCATAATATATAAATGTAAAGTTTTAACATCCAGCATTACATCTCTTTTCAGTTTTCTGCAATACCTTCATAACAAACTTACACAGAAATATCAAAATTATCATTTACATTTGTGTGAGCTAACAACGCTTGACATTGATCCGAAAACAATGTGTCTGCAACTGCAGTGTTTATCATTCTGTTGGTTAAAGACTTAGCACATGGCAACAAACAAGTGACAAATATGCAAAATAAAACCAAAATCATTATTGCAGGTGTCGCTATTTTCAATATCAGTTGCCACCATGCTCCAGTAGAAAACCATGACAATAAGTCCCAATTCATGTTGTCATTGTCTCGCTCACTTAGCATCTCAGTTTTAAGACTTTTTAGTCGATCCAAAATTAGTGAATAATTTGAGTTGGATGATGGAATGAACGTACAACAATGATCCTTAATTAACTGACACACACCACCAGTTTCAGATAAAACAAAATCTAATGCCACTCGATTCTGCATGATCATTTGACGCATAGCCTCTTTCTCTGAATCTCCCCTGATTTGTTCAGTGAGGTCCATGACAATATTAGTCAAATTCTCCAAATTCCATGCAATATCATTCATCCTATGACTTAAATATGCAACTCCATACATGGGAAGGCTGTCATGAACACTCCTCTTACATCTGAGATTAAAGGTGGGCTTCTGGCCGCTGTGGCAGCAGCCCTTTTCTGCCTCTGGCCCAAGTGCTGTGTCAAGTTATCACTTGAAATGATATAGGAGGCCGGACCTAGGGTGGCCAGATGACAAGTTCCACACCATCTCTCTGGAAGCCACAGATACACTTTATCTCCACAAACCCACACCTGGTTTGACGGGCATGGATAGCCCCAAAACCCCGGGACCTCCACCAAAAAAGCTGGGTATGAGTGCCAGTTGGCCACTCCACTGACCTCACCCACTTTAGTGAAATTAATCACTGGGAACTCCCGTGCAGTCGGAGTAGTAGTGAAGTATAATCTGTGATGTATCTCAGAGGTTTGTTGGTTATATGTGGCAATAGGCAGAACATCATCACAGGTGGATGTTCCTACATATTGGTTCGCATCCTCCCAGGGCCCCGGCACATTGCATTTCCTACTCAGACACAGAGGAGAATTGGCTGGAAATCGAGCCACAGTCACACCTTTCTCATTAGTCATATTTGTACTTAAAGAGAAGTTCAATGGAACTCTCCAATCTGCTACCTTTTGAATTGAAAGAGTAGTGCAATTTGGCAGCCATTCCACATATTTAGAGTAGTTCATGCCAATTGAATGTAAGGTATAAAAAGCCATAGTGCATATAGTTGTTAAAGCTGAGACTGGATGTGGTGTTATATAAGGATTTGAATTTGAATGATGAGGAACAAATGCACAAACATAACAATCTGACATATTATTTGCCTGAGCCGTTATTTCAGCCATGCGATACCAGTAGTTGTCTTTATAATGATCTACATCTATTTCTGCTCTAGCTGTACGCTTGACATTGTTATATTGTTGACTCCCCCACCAGAGCAGTGATGGAACCACAATAACTATCAATGTAATCAGTATTATTAGACCACTACTGCATCGAAGTCCATGTCGAGTGGAGAATACTTTGAAGACCATCTTGTAAACAGTCCTTTTTGAAACAGTCCAATTCACCAATATCACAAGATGAGAGGTTACTAGCACATCATCAAGTTGTACAAACTGTGTTTCTTGTGCATTAAACCACTGGAGGATCTCCCTGCTTCACTGACTGTTGAGACGAGCACATCTGCCCCCCTTTGTAGGTCAGCCTTCCCCTCCGCTGTGGTTGACACAAAATCTCTCAGATTTCTCTTTTTGCAGTGTGAGAGGTGAATCCACGTGGGCCTTTCTGCTATCTTCACAGCAGTGGGTGTCGTCAGAAGCACTTGATGCGGACCTTCCCACCGTGGACTGGACCAGGACTTTCGTTTGATGACTTTCACAAACACCCAGTCTCCAACTCGAACAGGCAGCTCCTGTGCACAAAATGGTTGACTCGGAACATTATTTGTTTCTTGACACGCTCTAGTCAATAATGTTTTTCTCATATAGTCAGCCAACGTAGGATTATCATCAGGAGAGAACTGCTTATTTGGCTGTAAATCTGGAAGTGTGTATGACCTACCATATAATATTTCAAATGGTGTCAATGCACTACCCTGAGTAGGTGTTATATGCATGCTTAACTGTACCAAGTCTATGCATTCAGGCCATTGTCTGTTTGTTTCCTCCATGCATTTCCTCAATTTAGCTTTAACAGTGCCGTTATTTCTTTCAACTAAACCTGCACTTTGTGGATGGTAGCTACAATGTCTTTTTAGATTTATGTTGAGATTTTGTCCCACCTTATCAATCACATCATTTACAAAATGTGTTCCATTGTCACTCCTGATAACTCTGGGAATCGAAAATGTTGGCACAATTCTTTTACATATTGCTTTAGCCACTGTTAGAGCGTCCGGAGAGTGACAAGGAAACAATTCTACCCATTTGGAAAATGCATCAATAATCACGAGGCAATATTCCAAATTATTCACTTTATTTAACTGGATAAAGTCCATGTGGATTTCTTCAAAAGGATGTGTGGGTTTAGGAAATACCCCCCTTTTTGGTCTCATATTTCCTTGTGAATTGTGTTTTATACAGATTACACACTGATTACAAAAATGTTTTGAGTATAAATTGTACCCATATGTTGTGTAATATTTGTTCACCAATCCACACATACTTGCAGAAGAAACATGGGTTACTCCGTGGCTCACTAAAGCCGCCCATTTAAACATTGATTTAGGTAGAACTGGCTTATCGTTTGGACCCATGTACAAACTCCCATTGAATATAGCTCCCTCTTTAAGCCATTTCTCTTTTTCTGCTTTTGGCGCTTGTTGCTGCATTTCTTTTAAAAGATCGTCAGTTTTAATGCAACCATTGCATCACGTCCGAGTAGATTGTATGGGCACAGCGGTGACAGAACCACCCTCAACATGGCTTCATCACATGTTTCTGGATTTGTTATTGTAATCAACTGACTCAAATTTTGTTTTTGCACTAACCCATTAGCTGATCTCACTGTGATTGAGTTTTTTGAAATGGGTATATTGCTCACATCCCTAATCACTGTTTTATCCGCTCCAGAATCACAAAGGAACACATAGGGCCTTTCTTCAATGTAAAGTGTTATTTCTGGTTTAGACACATGAAAAATATCTAATTGAGTGAAATCTATAACCTCATCACATTGCTTTGCCAAATCAGAATCATATCCATTTTCATTTTCAATTATGGAAGTCATTTTTAAATTTGGAATTTTC